TTTCCATTTGTGTCTGAGTTCTTCATAACGGTTGTAGGTCTATCTCTTAGCTTTCCAACCCATCCTCTTGTGTCCAATTTGGAGATATATAGGAATATATATAACTCAAGTTATGGCCTAAAACACCAAACTGACTTCTGTTATGACGGGCCACATGCATCACTGACTTGAGTGCCCATTTTGACCACTATAATGTCAAGAATATGTTCTGAGGTCTTCATGAGAGTTGTTCCCATGTGTCTTGAGACTTCTCTGGTTTTGGATTGGTTTAATTTTAGTGTTTGGATAAGTAGAAATGCAACAAAAAGTGGACTTGGTTCTGCTGAATTAGGTCCGGACTGTTGGTCTGTGATCCTAGTCTTTGTTTACCATCTTACACATTGATCTGGGCTGTGATCCCTTGATCATATTTGTATCATTTTGTCTTATCTTTCTAATGAATCTAATTTCATTCAATAATCTAATTTCATTCAATTTGAAGCCCTATAACTCAATTTATGTCTTAAACACTCAGCAAAGGTCAAAGTTTATTTTAATGCTGAATATTTTCTATATCTTGAATCATAGGTTTTAGAAACAAAAACGATGAAATTAGGAAGTGGTATAAAAGAGTTATTTGTTCTTTTATGTTTTATCTATCCATAAGCTTGGGAATCATCTAAATTGGACTTATAAATTAAAAGATATGACAAAAATGGTACAAACTATGCAGGCTGGAAACCAAAAGCTGGGCAAACTAGAAGTTGCTACTTTAGCGCAATATTTGACTACTTTAACTACATATTTAAGAGAAGTGATAAAACACATATTTGTACCCTAATGTGTTATCTAACCCATTAGAATGTAGACTACCTATTGGACTTATGAAGAAGAGTTTGCAAAATTTTGTGAAACATGTACAAGGCTGCCCTTGCAGATTTCAAGGCTACCAATGAGACATGTGTTTGGGAATGCATATGTAGATTCATTCAGCCTAAGGATATTTACTGATTTAACCTTCGAGTTAAACATAAATTAAAAACTCAAGAAGTTTCCTTAATTTTGATTGGGTAATAAATTAAGTTACATAAAGCTTAGTAAGCGTTTGCCGTCGCGGGAGCAATAGTCAATTATTTCCATGCAAGTTCCTTTACAAGTGATTAAATTTGTTTTGCATTATTACCCATTAGATATTACTGATCAATTGTTCTATGCATCCTTTTAAAGCATGAAACAGGTTAGCAACATACAGAATGAGACAAGCATACAGGTAAACAGTATGGTTTAATGCATTTTAAATGAATAAGTTAATATGTTTAATTGTATTAAGACATACAATTAATATTCTCCATTGAGGTTAATAGAAACCGCACTGTATAGATAAGGCTATGTTCGCACATAGGAATAGCAGATCTACACCCCCATATAACGTTTGTACTCGGCTACAGCTGTGAGTGGATATAATTATAAATAATTGGGCATAACAGCCTAAGCCATACGTATTCATCCAAGTTTCATACAGTTCTTTTCTTATCACTTAGGTTCACTAATAACCTTACGTGAAGTTGGTCTAGCGTTTTCGTCGAGCATACTGTCATTCGCATGGGACGAACTCCCTGAGGCCATACAGTTATGAGATTTTCTTATTTTATTTATAACTTATACGATGTTGACTAAAAATTACATAAGTCATACAGCATAATGAACAGCAAGTAAGATAATGAAAGTATAATGTTATGTGTGCTTTCATATTTATTTATTTAGTTCTTATTAAGTTGAGATATCCACTGAGCTTTATTTGCTCAGCGAGTTACATGTTTTAACTCGCAGGTTTTAGGTCTGGACCGTAGAGAGTCGTCTTTACAATTGCTGCAGTTCATCTTTTGAAGACCCAGTCTTCAGGGTAACTACTCCTTTTGCTATTTTGGTTCTGTGGCATGTACAGGGCACATAGTTGGGCCCATTTCATTTTGGAAAATAGTGTAATGTCTTGTAATTATTAAGTAAATATCGAGGTATAAAGCAACAGCATGACATAATAATTAGCATACGGGATGATATCAGCATGACAGGATATAGGTTCAACCAGATTGTAGCGTCTCGGCTCGGTTCATTCTGGTTTACGGGTGGACCGGGAAGGGATGTTACAGTTTTCTCTCAATAATATCATACCATCAAGGAGTGTGAACAGAAGAACTTTGTTATATGATACACTTAGGCCATGTCTAATATGGTATAATCAACTATGTAATGGAATGGAAATTATATTACACGATTGACTACATTGTTTGGTTAGAGTTTTTTTTTAACAATGTAATGTAATTGAGATTACATATGTAATCTTTATTACTTAAATTGATGTAATATTTATTACATAAAAAAACACATGTATTGTCCCATTACATCAAACACATGTAAATCACCAATACATCTGAGTCCACTCCATTTAAAACTCTACCACAACCAACGTAATGTAATTGAGATTACATATGTAATCTTTATTACTTAAATTGATGTAATATTTATTACATAAAAAAACACATGTATTGTCCATTACATCAAACACATGTAATACCAATTACATCGAGTCACTCCATTTAAAACTCTACCACAACCACAGCAGCTCGACCACCACTAGCACCGTTGTTCGACTGTCACTCCATCATCCCCACCACCACCACAACCACTTCACCACTGCCACCATTCCTCCACAACCACCACCAACACCACCATTCTATCACTACCACCACTTCACCATCAACACCACTTCCATCATCACTCCACCACCACAACCACCACCTCAGTCGCTCCATCACCGCACCACCACCTTAACCACCACTGCTCAACCACCACCTACTCTATCACCACCACCTCAACAACCACCACTACCACCACCATTGCTCTACCACCACCACTACTCTATTAATACCACCTCAACCACCACCACCACCACTCCACCACTACTCTACCACCATCACCACCCCTACTGTTCTATCACTATCACTTCAACCACCACCACCACTACCGCTCAACCACTCTACTACCACCACCATCGCCACCACCACTGCTCTATCACCACTGCCTCAACTACCACAACCATCGTCGTTCCACCACCACCACTCATCTACCATCAGCACCACTACCGTCGGCATCACCATTGCTGCTCCACTACCACCACTACTTTATCACCACCACCTCAACTACTCTACCATGACCACCACAACCACCACTCCACCACCACACTGCTCTATCACTACCACCTCAACGACTCTACCACCACTACATAATAAAAATTATGTTTTAGTATTTAATATGCAGCGGTCAATAAAAATTGCATTTTATTCTTTTATTTTATTATAGAAATTGGAAGAATAGAATGAAAAAGTACTAAAAATATTAAAATGCCCATAATTTTATATTATAATTTAATTTATTCAACGAAAAAATATAATAAAAATTAATTTCTAAGACTTTAACTTTTATTTTGTTATATTATATTTTTTATGGGTAACCTTCTTTTAATTTTTTAGTTCAAATAAATTTATAAATCTAAATAATCTTTAATAGCTTAATATAGCGAATAGCTTTTGATTCATATATTTCTTTTTTGTTAATAATGATATGGTGGTGGTGAGTCGTGTTTGAGGTAGCGGTGGTGGTGGTTGTGGTGGTAGAGTGGTAGTTGTGGTAGCGGTGGATGTGGAGTGATGGTAGTGGTGGTGGTGGTGGTGGTGGTGTGATTGGTGGTGGTATGCTAATTACATTACATATTTTCTAACAAACATAAAAAAAAAAAATGGTGATTACATTTTATAAATTTTCTCAATTATATTATCAAATATAGTAATGGAATCTTGATTACATTTTTCATTATATTATATCTTTGATTACATTACATTGCATTACATTAAACCAAACATAGGCGAAGTTCACTAAGAAAAATCATCAATAAAGTAAAAAAATAATCTTTTCTGTTTGCTCTTAGAAAGATGAAACCCCTGCTATAGAAAGAATAATTTATCTTCATTTTACCAATCGAATCGTCATCCATGATGATAAAATCTAGAGAATACTGGATAAGAAGATAAGGCAAAGATCATCATTTTAAGTAAGTTTAGTTACAGAAGTACAATTGACTAAAAGAAGGAAAGTACAGAACATTTTGTAAAGCTAATAGCAATTTAGTTCTATTCGCCATTTTTACAAAACAATTATAAACAAGGATAAAGCTACAAAAATATTCAAGAGAGCAAACTATATGATATGTTACACCTGTATCTACAAAAATATTCTTTAATGTGGAATGAAAAGGTTAGCTTTGACCATTGAATGTGGAATGGAAAAGTTAGCTTTGACCATTAAGACTGGGTTTAGGTTCAACAATTTCGAATGATTATTTAACAGCATCGTTAGTTTCGGAATTTGATTCTTTGTTCGATCCAAAATAGCTAACCTTTGCTACAGTAAAACTTATTTACAAGGATCTTAAACTAAAATAATTTAAAGATTTGTTCTGAAATAAATTAATTGGGTTAACAATAAATTTTTCAAACACTTCTAAAATCTCTCGGTTCTTAAATTTATGACCATCCATTTGGCACCTCTCTCTCTCTCTCTCTGTCTTTTACTTTGAGAAACTTTAGGTATTCTTGAGAGGATGAGATTTGAAAAAACAGAAAGTTTTTCTAATATATAGGAGTACTATTTGTTTTTCTACTTTATATTTAATAGCCAAAATAATGTTAATTTAGATGGAGGGACGAAATAGTGTAGTAGAATAAAATTTTAGGGACTAAAAGATATATTTTTAAAAGATAGATATTAACTAGTATTTTGGATAAAATCTCAGAGCAAATAGTAATTTGCCCTACAAAGTGAAGAAATCCACTGTTGACAGAAGCAGGAAATTTCATATATTTATGCATTTATCATCAAAATTTGGTAGCAAGATTAGAGAAGAAAATGAAAAAGCCAAAAATGACCTATAAACATTCTATTATATATTTCTTTTCTTTGTTTTCTTGAATCATAGGCAGAAAATTAATGTGTGTATATATGCGTGTGCAAAATTGCAAGAAACAGAAATACATGATCCTTCCTAGCTCGGAAGTTGAAGGAAAAAAAATGAGTTCATGCACTCTGTGCTTCCAAGAAGGCATTGAAGTCCTCCCTCGCCTTTCGCAGGCGAGGCGTAATGCAAGAAGCTGGCGATGCAGGGTGAGACGAGGGAGATGAGGTTGAAAACCGAACATGGCGGGAAGATTCATGAGACTTTCTGGGTGTTGCTCTAGATGAATTGTTCTTGAGGACCCCTTTCCGATCCTTGTGGAAGATAAATGCAGCAGAAACTGGTGAAGTTGCATCGTTCGCACTAGTTCGTATCAGTTCGAGTGGTAGATCAAAGTAAAGATTCATAGAATCTCCATCTTCATGGTCATTTGTGATAGCTGAAGATGCCCATGAACCGCATTCAAATTTTTCTAGAGAAACAGTTCTTGATATTATGTTTCCCGCCTCTATTTCTACCTGTTCCTTCTTTGACCTTACTGGTTTTCCCTTCCCAAAGCCAGGCAGGTACATGCATAGTGCACCACATTTAAATCCTTCATCATGATCAGCTTTATTAGCTTCAGTTTTTGAGAAGTTTCTATGATTTATGGCATCGAAGTCGATAACGTTTGGTTTCCTAAACCAAAGATCAAGTTCATCTGCTTTTGCAGATGACCTTCCTTCTACACAAGACCTGCTCTTCCTCAAATGATCAATTTCTTCTTCCTGAGTAAGATGAGAAGAATGTCTATATGCCAGATGGTCAATTTGACGAGGAGATGCCTGGCTTTCATTCTTCCATTTCTTCTTCAACATACCGAAGCCGAATCGAGGGGATGAGCATGCTGAGTTGGGTAGACTGCAGCTTATAATCGGTGGTTTTATGGGCGGTCCATCTGGAGGAGTGAGAATAGGTGGCAACATAAAATTGAAGCTAGATTCTCTCCTCGATGAACCTTGCAAGGATATTGGATCAACGAAAATCTGCTTCTCCTTTTGGGGACTCTCCTTTCTGAATGGCAGTTCAGGCTCTTCAATGGCCATGAACTTTAACTCATGGAAATGTTCAGCAGTTGTAAAGATGTCGAACTCATCGTAGATTTCAATTGCTTTTTCGGCATTGTTTCTAGCCATGATGTTTAAGGGTAGAGACTGAAGGTAAATTCAGGGACTGAACTATATATATATATATATATATAGGAGACATGACAAAGGCAGAACGTGGGCAGCATATCCCAAGTGTAATCAGTAGTGATTTGCATGTTTAGTACTTGCATAATATAATAAGCGGACATATATAATAACATAGTGTATACAAGAGGTGTTTAATGCATATCAAAGCATAATTTCCCCACAGGACTAATTGCTTCTATATTTTATTCATATGAGAGCCTACTTTCATGAATGATGACTGACATCTTAACCATATTTAACCAACCTTGATATCCATTTTCTCTTAACCGTGACTTAAAATAAGGGCATTCACACGTGCGATTAGGAAAATAGTGGTTTATGTACTTTGCATCAAAACAAAAGTCTACATCCAAGAATCCGAGAGAAAAAAAAAAAAAATACTCAACTATTAAGTTTCAAATAAAGTTATAGCAGGGTAAATAATAACATTCAAAAAGAAACTCTGATTTTTCCTCAGTGAAAGAGTCGACGCATTCTGTAATAAGTTCTGTTCGCGTATAAAAAATTGATGTAGCAAACAAGAGGAGAAGAAGGCAATTCGCAACTCAACATTTGCAAAGATACACATCCATGAGCAAACATCAAATTATATAAACAATTGTTGTTCACATTGTTTGGATGTATGCAATAATACAGATTATATGACATCACAAAATTTCCTACTGAAGAGAATTATAAAATAAGATTAATACTACTGAAATACCAATGATGACGGGAAATGCTGAGACCAAGTACAATGCTCCATAACCCTGCAAGAGAATTTGCTTCTTTGGTTATGAAGCCTCAGATTATCTAAGCAAAGAAAAATTTTAACTCTAAATATATAGGGGATCATGTTATGTTGTTCTTACAATTTTTTTTTAAAAAAAATGTAATGTTCATTCTAATTATAGCATCAATCTGCATTAACATTCCATTAGGTGTTATGAAGTATATCTGATCATAGCACACTAAATGAATAAATAACAATATAAAGTGAAAATTGGTATAATTTCATTTTATTACCTTAAATCAGAAATTTCTATGAAGAATTAATGAACTCTCTCTTTATTATTTTCCACTTTCTTCCTTATTTTTCCTAATTGTTAACCTCACCAAATCTGAATTAGGAAAACACATAAATATTTATATGAAATCAAAAACTTCTTACCAGTCATATTTAACTCTATGATAGCTAGTATTCTTCATTCTAAAATTTAAATGCTTTCCACTTTAAGTTTTATGAGCTTTTTGAGAGCAATAACAGAACCAAAAGGAAGAATTGATCGAGGACACATAACCAAGCCATTAAGGAAAACAGTTAAACTAATCAGAAGGGAGAACTAACCACAGCTGCAGGCACTTCTGTTTCATTACTGTCTTCAACGTCTTCAATGTCAGCAGCTGAATCCCAATCAATTTTAAGTCTCTTAGCAGCCTCTTTAGGATCTATACCAGTGTCCGTCGCTTTTGCATAAAGGGATTTTTTTGGCTTTGTCTTTGGTGCTTCAACCTACTCAATAAACACAAATAATTAGATAATTATAATTAATATGAGCTGCTTTCTTCTTTGTTTTCAGGACAGGTGAAAGAGGTCAATAACCAAATAATACTAAAGAAAATTTCAAGAAAGAACAAGAAGAAGAAGGTTCCTTAGAGATTAAACAATTTGGACTTTGCTCAAAAGGATAACGGAATAAGACCATAGTGAGAAGTAAATAATAACATAAATGATCTACATTGGATCAGGTTTTTTAAAACGAAAGGAGGCTGTTTTAACAGTCCATCCTGTAATCTAACAGGCCTAACTTAAAATTACATTCAGACTGCTCTTCCAAATTATTGAATCAAGTAATATACATTGAAAATTCCAGTAACGTTCTATTGTATAGCATAAAAAAAAACGTGTTAAAAGATTATTTTGAATCTTCTACTTTGTCTATGATTTCAATGTTGATAAACATTAGTATCTTTGTATAGCCTTGATGGGAGCAGTTCCTCGAAATTACTTGATGCTCAGAATTTATTAGCCATGCAATCAGATTTCTAGTTTCTCTTTGAAGTATCAAGTCTCTGCAGGACATTGACAAACATTGCAAACTCCAAATAGGCATAATTACCCCAGTCATTGCAATTTATGAATAATGATGTGAAATGGCATTTGCCATGTTGAGAAATTCCGCAGCTGTCAGAATTATGACAGTCCACTGATGATACATTGATACTTTGTAAAGTAAAGGAATATGTCAATTTTGTCTGGGGCCTTTACCACTTAACTGGGTATTCTAGCTCAGCTTACATGTAAAAATGAGTGAAAAATTAGGTGCAATATACCTGTAACTGAGAGCACATGATTTGCTTGCAGGAGGCTATTTAATGGATGATTTAAAATGATATAAAATACTGCTCAACTAAATTGATATAATCGCACTTGCAGGCTTGGCAGAACCCTTGTCATTTTTTTCTTGACAACAACCATATTCTACATGATATATCCACCAGTTAATCCATTCTCAAAATTTTTTAGGTGGAAGAAATGCATTCAGTATCTCTTTAGTGGACCTGCAGACTTCAATTTTTTCTACTACGATAACTGCACATTTAATAGAAAAAGACTCTCTTCTCTAAACAAATAAAATAATTAAGCAAAAAGGGTAGTCAAGTTGACAGGTACATGTGGTTTTCATATTGTTGACTAGAATTCTACTCAAATAAACCACGAGAGTGAGAATTAGTACTATGCATGAAAACTGAACCAAATTTTTGAAAGGAAATGGGCGACAATGAACACAAGCAAACCAGAACAAATCAAAGTTACAGCATTTCTAACATTAACAACCCTTGTAAGAAAAATCTAAACATTACCTCTAAATTAGGCCAATTTGCCATTTCCTCAGCAAGCATTTTGAGCGCAACACGATTTTTTGGTACTTTGCCTTCATTCACCTAGTAAACAGAGAATTGCAGTATAACAATATGAAAGAAATCATCTTCTTCTCCTATTGTGAGACATAAGGTTTAAATAATTTCTTTCGGCAGGTTAGGGGCTGTTGGACAGTCTTACATCAGTGTAAAATGCAGAGTTGAGGAGAGGACAACGAGTTCAAGTGGTTGAGAATACTGAAATCCACCAGCCTTTTTCTCATCATCATTTGAGGCATGCTTGCTTTTTAATTAATCTCCATAGAAGTTATTCCACTTCCATTGTCTCCCTTATTCTTCTCTGTTCTATCGCATTTTCTTTTTGGTAATTTCAAGACTTAATAAAATAACCTTTATGATGGTAGTTAACATTAAGAGTAATTTGCAATAATCCTTATTGATGTTAGAATATTATGGTTTCTTGTTAGTCAATTATTTATATAACATTCAGAAATAAGAATGGCAAACAGAACTTGGTGTTCATTCAACTTAGTGGACATTACATTTCATATATTGTGTTAGTAAATGATGATACTGAAGTAATATTAATTAACACATGCATTTGTACATGAATAAAGAAAATGAAGATTTCCCCACCAAATGAAAAACACGCCAGCTTTTCAGCTGACATTAAACTGTCACCCCATTCAAATACTAAAAGATTCCATTTAATTTCCCCTGAATCCTAAATTGTTTATAGCATAAGAATCAACTAAATTAATAGTAACCTAAATGTTGCTACATACAGCATACATCAATTGAGATATGGGTTCACCACATTTTCAATTATAGAGTGAACTGGTTAATAGTTTAGACAAGGCACAATTTAGTTATGGAAAGAGGAACTTACTTGTACTAGAGCTTCAACCAAGTCATCTCTGGTTGGATCATCAGGACCGTCAATGCCAAGTAGCTGCCTTCGCTCAATTTCTCTTGGGTCTTCAATCATAATTGTCAACTTAACCTAAGAAAAAATCCAAAAACAGACAATTAATTGGCAATTGAAGAAGCCAACATATACATAACACCTAAATTGAATTCTCGAGTTATAAGAATGACAGTGATGCAAATGAGTTAATCAGCTTATATCAATCGCAGCAATATATATATATAACAAAAGAAGTAACATTACCTCATTAAAAAGCATGTCTCTATTTTTCTTAAGAAGCTCCACTACCTAATGAAATCAAGACAAAGAAGATACGATACAATTATTTATAAATACCAAATGAAACAAAAATTTCCCTCCCCAGAAAAATGGAACAAATTGAAATAGACCCTTTTGATTTCTTGAATGTATTCAAGGTCTTGAGGACTAGGTGGTGCTACGTCTTCGTCTTCTTCTTCTTCTTCCTCCTCAAACTCTTCTTCTCCATTTTGAACACGCAACTCTAGGTCTTCTTTACCAACCAACAAGCCAGTCTTCTTTCTTCTCCAGCTATTGTTACTTTTATGGTAGTGTAGGCAAAAGTTACCCAATTTCCTTTTTCTCAAAGCAAGGTGGTAATATGGTTGGTTGTAGAGGAAGAGAAAATGGGTAAGTGAAGAAGAAGAAGAAGAAGAAGGTAGTGGAAATCGGTAAAGTTGCAAAGCCATTATTGTCTTATCTTGAATAAGGCAATGGAGTCGTTAACAATTTGAAATATTTTTGGCCATTTTTTTTTTTTTTTTTTTTACTTACTTTCAAACTTCAAAGATTATACAATTAGATTTTGTAGAAGAGAGAGTCACTTCTACTCAAGATGTGAAAATGTCTATTTGGTTAACAATAGCTCTCTGATTTCGTGGTCACCATAGCAATCTAGCATATCAGTTGCTCAGAAATGGAGCTGCTTGATTGTATGGACTGGGCCGATCCAATCAAAGCCTTCAATCTTTTTAGGCCCACATTCGCACTCCATTCTAGGGCTGAGCAAACCTCGATCCAAAAGTCCGATCAAACTAATCAAACTAAGCCGATTTGATTCTAACCTCTACTTAGTTCGAGTCGATTTTGATTTTTTTCAAAATTTAATTTTAGTCTATTCATTTTAGTTCAGTTTAGTTTTAAGCTAAACTAGTTTGCACACCCCTGATTAGTTTGTACACAGTAAGGGTAGCACTTCCCTTTGCTTATTATTTACTCAATTAGTGATAACTTGTGGATGGTATTTGAACTCAAAACTTCTCGATTCCTAAATCTTTTACAAAATGTAAAAGACAAACAAAATCACACCTAATTGGTAGGGATATCAAAATGAATTGGCATTTTGAGTTCGACTCGTACTTGCCTAACATGCAACACAATTAAAGCCAACACGAACAATATCCATTTAATAATTGTGTTAAATATTTAAATATGAACACAACACGAAAAGTGAGACAAACACAACACATATAATCCATTTAATTAAACTGGGTCAAAAAATGCAATCAGTCTAATTAAATGGGTTATATTATAGGTCAGAAAATTTGACATGTATAACCTGTATAACTCATGTGTATATATATACCGCTAACTTGGTAGGATAATCGAAATATGAATTTGGCAATTTTGAGTTCGACTCGTACTGCCGTAACATGCAACACAATTAAAGCCAACACGAAACAATAATGCCATTTAATAATTGTGTAAATATCTTAAATATGAACACAACACGAAAAGTGAGACAAACACTAACACATCATAATTCCAATTTAATTAAACTGGGTCAGAAAAATGCACTCCAGTCCCCCTAAATTAAATGGGTTTATTATAGGTCATAAAGAAAATTTGACATGTATAACTGTAATAAACCTCATGTTGTATATATTATATATACTATATATTATATATTATTATATATAATATATAATATAATATATATTATATATATATATTAACTATTACCTTCAATTAAACGGGTTGAAAAGGTTATATATTACTATTTACCTTCAATTAAACGGGTTGAAAAGGTTACACGGGTCAATTCATGACATGATACGTTTAAACTCATGTCATATGGAAAATAACAGCTATTTATAAAGTTTTTTTTTTCACATAAAATGTGATTAAAAGCGGGATAATTATAACTTTAGTGCCTGAACTTTTCGTTTTTTTCTATTTGGTGTTTAAACAGAAAACACTATTAATTAAGTGCACAAACTTTTTAAAATTTACGTTTAAGTGTTTCAGTCTGATTTAGCTCTTCGGAAATATGATTATATAATTGCAGGACCCATTTTTTCGCATCTGGTAGACGACATGGTATAAAAGACCTCCAAATCAGTTTGCTATATATAGTCCAGGTGGGCATGCTATCAAATTCCACTAATTTGCCCTTTCGAACCCTGTTCACTTTGGTTTTATTTAATTATGTCAACTAAGAAGACAAGGAAAACAGAGTTCATATTAAGAAAATGAAAACTAATTAACAATTTCGTAGCTAATCCAAATGTAAATAGAAGTATTGATTTAAAGAAACTACTAAAAACTCTTTACTGTAAATCTTTTGTCAACACAAATTACCTCAATAACCACAATCCTTAAGTAATAAGGGTAAGAAAATATGATGTGAATAAGTAACAAATCTTTGGTGGCTGCATATATAGAAATTAAAAAATTGAAAAAGAAATAAAACTTGGAAAAGAAAAGCTAAATCAAAAAATTAAAAAAAATGAAAAGAAATAGAGCAACTAGAATTTTTGTCACTTCCATCTCTAATCAAGCTCCTTCAACCAAATTATTTAAAAAAAAAAATAGAGCAAAAGAAAAAATAAAAGCAAAAAAAAAAAAGAAAGAAAGAAAACCTACAATTTTACAATTATTGGTTGTGAACCTAAATTGCAGCAACTGGGCACACGAGGCCATTACAACACCAAGGAAATTTAGGTAACTCACTCTTGCATTGAGATTTAGAGAGGGAAAATGATTGTTTGGTTAGAGAGAAACATATAGAAAGGGAAAGTAAAGAATCAGATGGAGAGCATGTTAGATTATTTTAATAATATGTATGTGGCCCATGTGATTAAAGGGCTGGTTCTAATTATTTAATAATATGTATGTGGCCCATGTGATTAAAGGGCTGGTTCTAATTAAGGTGGCCCAAAATGATGGTTATTGGGTTTAATGGATAAGAGCCAGTTAGGGTTTTTATACCCTTCCTCTGCCTTATAAAAGATAAAGGAATCAACAGATTAGGGTTAACATAGAAACAAGAGAGTGTGACGGCTCCCTCAAACAGATACGGAGATAGTTTGTTTGAGAGAGCTCATAAAAGAAACTCCTGCAGCTTTTGATTATTCTCTGACCATTAAGAGAGCACTTACGGACAAGAGGCCAGAGTGAAGAAACGTAGATCTGCTGTTACGGTGAGAATCGAATTGTCCCAATGAGGTAACCCATAACATAGATCTGCCGTTATGGATCGCCGTTAATGATCAAGGTACAGCTTCCGAACTATTGGTATATTCTTGTCATAACAAATTCTTGAACAATAGATCTGGGCTATAAATTAAGTTTTATTTCAACCCATGTTGGTATCAAGAGCCTGTAACTTGTTCTAGATTGTTGAGTAGCGTTTTTTTTTTTGCTTAATTAATGAAAATAATTCGTATTGTGAAAATTGATTTCTATGGTATAAGCGAAGCCAAAATTATAGAAATTAAAACTGTTTGGTTTTCTTATGCTTTATAAATTATTTGTATTAATTTATAGAGAATGGTTATGACATATTTATTTGGTTATGTCGTTAAAGTTTTTGAAAGACTTATCATTGTACTAATTAATATGAATGTATATCCAAAGATAACATGCATATTGTATGGAGCATTATTGAATAGTTGAATGGAATATAAAAAAAAATGTAACTGGATTCCAAAAAGGAGCACGGGCGTGCTGTGGACTTCTAGAGAGAAGCACGGGGCATGTTGTAATATAGCACGGGCATGCCCTGACTTCCAGAGAGAAGCACGGGGCGTGTTGTAATGTAGCACGGGCGTGCCCTGACTTCAAGAGAGAAGCACGGGGCGTGCTGTAATGTAGTAGCACGGGCGTGCCCTGACTTCCAGAGAGAAGCACGGGGCGTGCTGTAATGTAGCACGGGTGTGCCCAGACTTCCAGAGAGAAGCACGGGGCGTGATGTAGTGAAGCACGGGCGTGCTTTTCTCTGACTTGCATAAAGGTTCGCAAGTTGCTCCACATCAATGAAAGTCTATTAAAGTATTTTTCTTCTTGGCATCAGTATTGATTAAAGCTATACATTTAAATATTACTCAAAGGTGAATTTAGATGCATAATTAAGGTTGTTATTTGTTTGAATCCATTTTATGTTTACTCAAAGTATTAACGTATGACTATATGTATAATGCTGCAGCTTCCTTTAACATGTTTACTATGGGCACTGGGTTGATTAAGTTCAATGGACTGAACTATGCTGATTGGTCCAAACAAATCCATTATCAGTTAGGAGTTCTGGACTTGGATCTGCCATTAGTCTCTGAAAAGCCAGCAGCCATTACAGAGACCAGCACTAAAGCTGACAAGTCCCATTATAAGGCTTGGGAGCGGTCTAACAGGTTGAGCTTGAACTTAATGAGGATGACAATGGCTGAAAATGTTAAAGGTTAAGCCATCAATGCCCATAACAGACAATGCGTTAGAGAGTACATTGCCTGAAAATTAAAGGAATACTCCCCAATTGGGAACATAACTGACAAGCTCCATCATACGGAATCCTTGATGAGTGAGCTGACGACAAGAAGTTTTTGATTGGTCACAATCCATTCATTGATCATGTGAATTGCATGCAGAAATTTGGCCCCGCCAGACTGAACAATCAATGAGAATGGATTGTGGAGTGAATCCTTTTTAGTTCCAATTTATTTATTAACTCACTTTCATCCTTGAGTTTTGGTCAGTTTCCAAGGTGGAAAATACAACACCCCTACAGGGAAAATGGAAACATTCAGAAAATCAAGGCCATGTTGAAACAGAGAGGAACGGGAGATACAGAAAATTGAAGGAACCTCCATCAATCTCATCTTTTCATAATGGAGCGTAGCACAGCATATAACAAACTCAGGGAAGAAAGCACAGAAAAAGGGACAGTGCCCCAATGGAAGGTTAAATTGAGGCAAATCCGGTAAGGAATTGAAGTGCTTACGTTCTGTAGAAGAATTGGTCACTTTAAAGACAGGACGCCTATAAAGGAAGATTTGTTTGAAAATGAAAGGTATACTTTATTGTTTCAGTATGTTTTGAATAATCCTATTAGAAGTGCCTAATCTTATTGAAGTGCCTAATAATACTTGGTGGTTAGATTATGGTGCAAGTACTCATGTGTCTCATATTATATAGGGATTTCTTTCGATCCAACCCATAAACGAAACTGAAAAATTCCTATTCATGGGAAACAGAATGAAGGCAAGAATGAAGGCACGAATAGAAGGAATTAGGACTTACAGATTGATCCTGGACACTAGTTGTTATCTGGATCTTGAAAAGTGTCCCTATGTTCCTGAATGTCCTAGAAATTTAGTTTATGTAGGGAGGTTGGATAATGTTGGTTTCAGTTTTAAGATTTGTAATGGTGTTTTTTCATTATACAAAGTTAAGTACTATTATGGTTCTGTACTTTGATTGATGGTTTGTATCGTTTAAATCTTGATGCTGAATTTATTGAATCTCTGTTTAATGTTGAACACAATACAAGTATTAAACATAGTGAACATAATGAATGTTCTGCTTTCTTGTGGCATCAAAGGTTAGGTCAAAGGTAGGTTCCACATAATTCCAAAGAAAGGAATTTTGAAGGCTAGTGAAAGAGGGTGGAATCTTTAAC